ATTGAAAAATTAGAAAATTTATTCTTCTTCTTCTTCTTTTTACTATTATTATTTGTTATTGTTGATACTAATAATAATATGCCTGAAATAATTCTTTCTTCTTCACCTGTATTACATAAAAATGCTTTGTTGTCAATAGAAAAAAATCAAAATTATACTTTGAACAACAAACAGACAAGTCACAATTAACTGATAATGAATTGAGATTAATAAAAGAAATGTCAAAAATATATTTAATTCAAAAGAACAATTAAAAATTGATAATTATATGAATAACACTTAATTTTTATATTTTATTTTCGTTTTTATTTTATGAATGAATGCGAAACTTAATGACTCGTGGCCAATAAATTATTCATAATATGCTCACGTGACCAGAAATGAGATGATCGACAATTCTTTATAGTGAACGCTCTCGCTCTCTATAACGAACCAAAGTTCTCGGCCCAGGGGGTGAGCTTTGACTGTAATTAACATTTCAGAGCCTTGCTCATAAGAGTAGAGGTAGAAAATTGTTATTAATTCATTTCTGTAGCAAATATTTTTACAAATTAATTCTTTTAATGAAAACACCTTTGTGGAAATTAAACAGTAGGGCTTAATTGTTTATTTGGTTATCAGAATGGTATAGAACTAGAGTTCTATTCATAATGCAAATTCTTATTCAAATTATTTTGTTTCATTCAAATAAACTTTCAATGTAATTCGAATACTCAAATTCATAATGAATAATTCGAATAAACCTTATATAAAGCCCTATACTCTTAGCAAAAGTTTCGGATACATCATTTATGCAAAAATGTACATAATAAAAATATAAATAATTTTTATCAAATCGTAATAAATTTTTCAAGAATATGTATGCGAAATTTCGTATTTTTGTATTTTTGTAATGTCTAGAAGAAAAACAGTTAAAATAAAACAAAAAGTTCGACCAAAAATCTGAAAATTATAGTTTGCCCAAAAAAATTTATTTATTTATTTATTTATACCACTTATCAAAAACACACACAATAACCACACCTGAAATTTAATTATTTGCCTGCAAACCTGTATTTTCATTAAATTGGTCTTTTTTATTCAGCAGATTTACGATTTTCTTTTTTAACAATTTTCTTCAACTCATTCTTATGGTCAACACTCAAATGTTTAAGGCGTCCACTTTTTGATAACTCTTTAACACCATCTCTCTCCTGGAAGTGTTTAATTATTCTGGTCACAGTTGTACTTGCGAATTTAAGTGTTTTAGAAATATATGAAATAGTACTACTGCCTTTGTAAGATCTTGATATGTGAAAGATTAGTTCCTGATAAATTACATCAAAATTACATCATATATTTTTTATACAAGTTTTTTGGTTTATTTTAAAAAATTGTTTTGAAGTTTTTGAAATTTTTGCTAAAATTAAATTTAACAGATAATTGGGACTTTAGACGTGGTTATTATGTAAGTTTTTGAGAAAAAAATTTTTTTTTGGGAAACTATAATTTCCAGAGGATTTTTGGCCGAATCTTTTGGTTTTTTTTTAACTGTTTTTCTTCTATATAGACATTACAAAAATACGAAATTTTGCATACATATTCTTGAAAACTTTATTACGATTTGATAAAAATTATTTATATTTTTATCATGTACGTGTTTGCATAATTAATGTATTTGGGGTGTCCAAAACTTTTGCTAAGATACTGTAGAACTCTGAGGTTTTGTAATTCAGTTTTGGTTGTTTGTTTTGGTAGAAAGCAAAGGTTTAATTTTTTGGTTTTGTTAAGCGTAAAAGGTTTGTTTTTTAAGTGTTTGTGTAAACGTAAGGTGTTAAGATTGTTCGGCCAGATATAAAGTGCTGACATTTATTAACCAATGTCGTTGTCACATATCACTTTATTGCATTGTGTTAAAGTATTTTGTAAATGTATGACTAAATTTAATCAGTCAAGAAAAGTAAAAGTAATAAATAAGGAACTTTACTAAAGCATACATTGCTTTATAATAGGGCTATGTTTTATTTGTTGTTAGTTGTACCATGAAAGTGTGCCTACAAGTTCGCCGAAGCTTTCTAGGTACAAGAAAGAGGCGGCAAATTCGTAAAACGAGTTAATTGATAAGCATCGAATATAAAGGCTTGAGATTAATCGATGAGTATAGCTCAAAAGTTAATTCACATATTTTGGAAGTTAGATGACCATTTAATAACATTTTTCTTTTAGGTTACACACATTGATTATTACATTTGGTCTGTATTATGACATTACAGCCTAATTACAGAATTACAACATTACGGCTATCACTCAGATGCCGTAATATTATGACATTCGCAAATCAATTTAGGTTGCATGTATAGTTGACACTGTAATTCTGTAATTCCGTAATTTCGTAAATA